TTTCAAAAAAAAAAAAAAAATTTGACATTTCAACCCGCTGTTACAGAAAGGAGTGGTAAAAAACTATTTTTTTTATTAAAATAAGTAAAAGTTGTTTAAATGTGTTTCAATAAAAAGTAACCGTTTTGCTATTGGTATATATTATATTTACACCTAATAAAAAAGAAATAAAATGAAAAGTGTTGTAAATGAAAATTTACTAGCATGTGATAAACAATGAAACCGGGGCAAATTTCAGAATTTATTTGGAACAATATTATCTATAATATATTTCTTTTTAGTTTCGCTTATAATTATTTTTAGGTATCGGTACTGTTATGTTAGACTTTGGTATTCAATTTAATTTATTAAATTTTTATAAGTAAAAAAATATTAACATATGAAAAAGACATCCGTTGAATTACGAGAAGTTGAATTTACACCTTATATTTTTTTAAATACCTTCGGGCACTTGTTAATTAGTTTTTTTTTTTTTTAAAGGCGATTACGTATGTCTGTCTATGATAGATTAATAATTAATTTGCATTAAATAGTTTGACGATTTCTCGCTGTTTATGAAACTATTATTGCAGGTATCATAACAAATAACATTTTTTGTGTCGGCATGTATGCAAATATACAATACGTATTGTGTCATTTTGTTAGAGACACATGTTGTGTGTATGTTACAGTATTAATAGTAAGTAGCCGTGGCTACAAAAAAGCGTGTATGTCATGTACAATGACCGATTCGATATGTATCTAATTAATTCGCGAACAGGTTGTGTAATAAAAAACGTTAACGGTTTTAAAAAGGAAGAAGCAAACATGAATAATGCACAGTTTCGATGATTCGCCGTCAAGCATATGGTGTTTCACAGATATAACATTACGGCTTTTAAGTTTTGCCATTTATTTGTGTGTTGTAGAGCTAGTTTATTTACTTTTGCTCGTTTTTCCCCCCTTACATACGTCGGGGTTATTGCACGTTTAATATTGTTGTTATTAAATGTGCTATAATATATAAATAAAACTAGATTGTCATGTGTATACAAGGTTGAGGTACTTCAATGAACATTATTTATTCCGTTATCTTTTTATTTGGCGTCATTGTTTTTCTTTTAATTTTGCTATGGTGAAGTAGTTTTAAATGTAAAAGCATCTCATCGGTATAAATCCACTATTAAGTAACTAACAATGTCATAGGATTTCATATATTTAAGGTATAAATCCGTTTCTTTTGAATTAATTTTTTCATTAATTTGTTTTTTAATTAAAAATATCTACTTATAATTGTCAAGGATTTTTTTATTTTTGTGGAAATTTTCATAGATACCCAGCCGTCTGTTCGACTGGGTTGTGTTGAAGTCCTTCCTAGAAGGACCTACCAACTAAAACTCTTCTATCTCAATCTGTTTAATTCGGTCTTCTTCAGTCGTCTCAAAGATTTGTTATACCACTGCTTTCAAAAAATTAGTGGAAAATCGTTTAATTTTTACATAAACGAATACCTAAATGAAAGGTCGCTTCCCACCCAACATCACGATCATTACAGATAATCAGTTCCAATACTGTTGGAGACAACGAGTAATTTACTCGAGGCCTTTACTCTGATTTCGGCTTCTAGGATGTCTCCAACCCGCCCTTCATGTCTCAGATCTCAGAAGGTGTCTTATCATCCTGCCTGTTCTTTTTTTAAATAAATTTTCGAAAATTTTTAAACAACAAGAATTCATTTGGCACAAAAATTAAATTACATCATTAATTAAATAAAAATCCCCGTTTCCCTAAGCTGACTCTAGATTCCCTAGATCTACGGAAATTTCCCTAGGTCTGGCAACTCTGGTCAAAAAATTTCTGTTAGTGGACATCTTTCTCCCTCCTACCTGCTGTTTGGAGAGAGAAAGAGAGCTGACGATGTACATTCAATTAGTCTGCTGTCTCGTGAATATATACAAAAGAAGTCATTTTAAGAAGCTTCGGAAGATAACCAACCATTACCATTTCCAGATAGTGCTTGCCGAATATATACCAAGTACCTTGATCAAAATTTATAATTAATATTTATCGAATAGAGTTCCTACTACACCACACAGCTTATTTTCTTTTAATAAAGGAATTCGCAAGTTTAATATTTTTGTATATGCCTAACCTAACTTAATTAACTTTGCGTTAATTTTAAATCTTTAATTTTAAATTAAATAGTTGTTTTCACGCACTATATGTGTAGATATATGTTGTTTGCTCAGAATGACATATTTTAAGGTCAAAATTTTCGAAGGATTGTAAGCTAATTTGGATGTAACTTATTATTAAAAAAAAATCATTACAGACGATTCAATTTTTTAAGCTTTGAAATCCTGAAAATGTCCTTTAGATTTGGAGTGCCATTTTAAGGTAGGTAAGCATGTATATTGTTCTAAATTACGCATGTTTCATCAACTCACCTTTCCAGTAATTAGTGTAACTTTTCGCTGAGGTTACGCAAGCATATATTAATTGCCACTTACTGTCTCCTTAGGTTTTTCTTTTCATAATCGGATTTAATCGTTTCTTAATGGGGTCACGAACTCTACTAATTAAGATTTCTTTTTTTTTTGCTTTTCGCTCGGCTTTCACTAGAGCCTGAGAACGAGACAAACAGTGACTGTTTTTGTCTTCTCTTTTTACATGCATTTGAAATTTCACAAGAAAATGTGATTAATATCGGAATTCAAGGGATTGAACATGTGACAATGGCGGCATTTCATAAATAAATTGAAATGTGAATACTATAAATCTAGTGACAACGTCGTATGTTTATGGATTTAAAATTAACTATTTAATTAGACACAACTGTAAATTGCCTTTTTGCGTTGTCCCATAAGCAATTTATTAAGAAGTTCTTGGCGAGTACTTTATCATACAAAGATCGCGATTACCATCTTATTTGATCTCATTAACACGCCATATACCCCTCTCTTCGAAAGTCCTCAATAACTTATTTATTATAATTGTTAATAATTTCAAACCGTAATGTCGTAAATAAAGAAGACATTATTTTTTTCGAAATCAAGATGGTAATCGAAATTAAAATCCAAATGGAGTTTTGCAAAAGAGATGCGTTTTCTTATTGCAGCCACATCTGGTGACGCTGCGGGCACCTGTTTCCGAATCCTTGTCTCGTCTTCATCGAGAGCAACTGCAGAAGTTTGCCCAGTATTTGATTAGCGAGCTGCCGCAACAGATCCTACCGACCGCGCAGCGGTTGCTGGACGAGCTGTTGGGGTCGCAGCCGTCCGCCATAAATACTGTTTGCGGCGCCCCCGATCCGACAGCTGGGGCTTCGGCCAACGACCAGACCTCATGGTACCTAGACGAGAAGGCTCTCCACGACAACATCAAAAAAATACTGATTAAGTTTTGCGTCCCCGCTCCTATCGTTTTCAGGTAGGACTCATTTTGAACTTATAAGCTGATTGCATGGGATTCCTAATACTCATGTTCAGTCTTCTTTAAATAAATGCAAGCCCTATAAGGCCTATATAAAATGACATCTGTTACTTTCGCTATAAAATTGTTTTCAACAAATTGTAACCTTTGCCAAAAATGGAATATGTTGACCCACAATTTGGGTTTGGATGAGTCTTAATGGTTGTTGTAAACAACCCATAGAAGGAGTAATAGTGCTGAGCGCTGGGTGGTTCCCCCTTTTGTACGTATGATTAAATGAGTATTGAGTTTAATGATTAATATTCACAGACGGTGGAGGAGTCTTCAGATAATTTTTTAAGGGAAAGAAAATTGAGCATGAACGGTTGAGTGTGTCTTATGAATAAAAATTTGGGTTTGTTAGCAATTGTTAATTTATTTTTTGTAAATAGCGATGTAAACTACTTAAGTACGACGGCTCCACCTGCGGCGGCCGAATGGACTTCTCTTCTGAGACCCCTGAGGGGCAGAGAGCCCGAGGGCATGTGGAACCTCTTGAGTATTGTTCGTGAAATGTTCAAACGAAATGATCGGAACGCAATCCCTCTTCTCGAAATCATCACAGAGGAGTGTCTGGCGTGCGAACAGGTTCGCTAATAAAACCCTCTAATCTTGTTTTCCTCTCTTGGTGCACGAAATATATATTTCTAGATTTTGGTTTGGTGGTTTAATACCAAGGTGGCCCTGTTAAATGGCGGTTCAGGTCATGGGGTTAGTGGTGGCGGTAAACATAATAACGTCAATAGCAATAGTCATGCATCTCAACATGCGTGTTCGTCACTTTGCGATGAAATCGTTATATTGTGGCGATTGGCTGCCCTGAATCCTGGTCTCGCGCCCCAAGAGCGTGACATGCTCCATAATCAGTTTACAACATGGCATATGAAAATCATGGAAAAAGTAAGTCGGTCGTCTTCTAACCCGTCCAAGACGAACAAGAGTTGGTATTTGAAAATGGACATGGAAATATTTACCGGTTTTAAACCCGCAATCGAAGCATGCTATCTTGACTGGGACGATTATCCCATGCCGGGTATCACATATACCGAAGACACAAACCCTATGTACCATTGTCCATTTACTTGTTTCCGTCATACAGCCGAGAACAGGACCGAGAATGTAACACAGGTCAACTTTAGTCAGGCCGTTTTGAACAACGAACACCCTCATACTACCAGACACGGTCACCATTATCATCATGGACATCATCATCATCACCATCACGTGCCCAGATCTCGAATGACTCGTTTCGATTTTCCCGACGTTATGAGTATGAATCCGGTCGAGTTTCCGTCTCATCTGCAACTGGAACGTTCTAGAGATGGGACCAGGTCCAGTATTAGTAGCGAGGGATTTTGCGAAAACGAAGATGATGTCCTAAAGGATAGTGGGATTATGTTACCCGGTGCTTATAAGTCGATCGATTCTGATTCGCAAGAAGGCGGGGGTTCGGATTCCGCAAGTAGCAGTAGTAGTAATGGCAGGAACCAGGTACCCAATACAAAGCCAGAAAATATACAAGGTACTTCTCGTACGGACTGGGACGACCCAACATCAAGAAGGCCCTCTAAAGACGAAAGCTCTTCGTCATCCGAATCACCTCAAAGCGGAGACGAATATACTGTATATTTCTACAATCCTAAAGATGTGGATAATTTGAGCACAAGTCCGAAAGAACCGAAAGCAGAAGATACTGATAACAGGAACGTCTTTTCTAACATCAAATTGGCGGATGATCCTTATGATGTACTTTTTGCAAGGGCGGAAGGACTACATGCTCACGGTCATAGTAAAGAAGCGTGTCTTTTGGGTGTTAAACTGGCCGAGGAGCTTCTTGCAAATCCTCCGAATCTTATGATCGAAATTCCTCCAATGCCAAAACGTAAAGGTAAAAAGCAGCAAGTGAACCCTGCGTCGCATCAACTCAGTTGCTTAGCGTCCAGCACGCTCGCCAAATGCGCGTTCTTGTGTAGCGTGTTGGCTGAAAACTCGGAATATTATCATTTGGCATTTCGCGTGGGCATGTTTGGTTTAGAAATGGCACGTCCCCCGGCAAGCACTAAGCCTTTGGAAGTGAAGCTCGCCAATCAAGAATCTGATCTCGTTAATTTGCTAAAACGAATACCTCTTGGCCTCAAAGAATTAAAAATTCTACGCGAAAAGGCGGAACAATTAAAGGAAGGAACGTTAAAGTCACGAGGCGAAGCATTACTTCCAATCATGTTGGCTAGTTTTGTCTTTGACGCGTTAGTGGTTCCTAGCTTGATGGGGCGGGATAGATCCAAAGTTCTCTCAATCCGTTTACCTACAGACGAAGCCCTTGGGTTTGAAGCAGCTGTAATTGCTCTAGGGATGAAAGCCAACGTTTCCGAAGCAGATCATCCTTTATTGTGTGAAGGAACCAGACGCCAAAGAGGAGATTTAGCGATTGCGCTGTTGATATTCTATAAAGATGACAATTGGAAAGTAGCTCGAATCATGGATAAGCTACTAGATCGAGAAGTTCATCAGTTGATCAAAACACCTATTATAAGCTCATATTATTCGAACAATCCTCCTCTTCGAAGCCAGTATTCAAATTTAAAGAGAGAAGAGTGTGACAAGGTTATTTCACCGTTAAATTCATTCATGCCATCTTCTGACATGATGCCCTCAGATATGAGTAAGTACAGGACGGTTTATAAAAAGTAAATTGGGAAGTAATTGTTAAATTTTCCTTAGATTGTAATAGTCGTCCGCATAGCTCAACGAGCGCTGAGGTGGAGGCAGGCATGGCCAATTTAAGTTTGGCTGCAAATCAAATGCCTTCTCAAGCTCCACCCACACAGGTAACTACTCGGACGAAGGAGTCCCGCTACAAAAAACGTACATATCCTTCGATTCCAAATCAGCCTTCTGAAGCTGGTGCCCATTTCATGTTCGAATTGGCTAAGACCGTTCTGGTAAAAGCTGGTGGAAACAGTAGCACATCGTTGTTTACGCCTTCCACTAGCCAAAACCATCATGGTCCTCACAGGGCATTGCATATGTGTGCATTCCAACTAGGACTTTATGCTCTTGGACTACATAATTGCGCTAGTCCCAATTGGCTTAGTAGGACTTATTCATCTCATGTGTCTTGGATAACAGGTAAACAAAAATGATATCTTCTAAAATCTACGTATGAGTAATTGTAACCAGGGTTATTATTTAAAACCATTAGGTCAAGCAATGGAAATAGGGGCAGCTGCTATATCGTTTTTGATAGAAACATGGGAGGGTCATCTAACACCACCCGAGGCTGCAAGTATCGCCGATCGTGCATCTCGCGGCTGTGATCCAAATATGGTTCGTGCTGCTGCAGAATTAGCTCTGTCCTGTCTGCCACATGCACATGCGTTAAATCCCAACGAAATTCAAAGAGCAATACTGCAGTGCAAAGAACAAAGCGATATTATGCTGGAACACGCATGCCTTACTGTTGAAAATGCCGCTAAAGGTGGCGGTGTTTATCCAGAGGTAATAATTATGACTGTGTCAGGATGGATGGATCTATTATTTTCGATTTTACTTGTTGTAGGTTCTTTTCCAAGTGGCGCAGTATTGGTATGAATTATACGTGCGTCATACCCCTGGAGGCGAGCAATTGCTCGTAGAAAATGAAATACCTCACGAACCCATTCTCCTTGATCCCATTGTCGCACTTGTTGATCTTAACGTTGCAAACTGTGAAGCGCAACAGAAACAGCAAGCTGTACCTGCAAATCAGCCCCCCAATATGGCACCAGGGGCTCCTGCTCCTCCTCCTCAAGCCCAGGGCGCACAAGTGATGGCCAGTGGTGGACCAGTAGTCGTTACAACTGCTCCGCCACCCCCATACCAACATCCTTCTGTAACAACCTTGGCCGCCCCGTTGGGAGTTTCTCTTCCATATGCCGTTGCCCCATATAGTTTCGCGGTCCAAAGTTTACATCCACATCCTCATGTGACTGCATACGGAGGAGGTCCTTTACACCACCATCACCACCATCACCATCACCATCCAGGTGTTCAAATGGCACCTCAACCGCCTCCGCCGACGGCGCATGTGCAAATGTATCACCTTCCGCCACCTCCGCCAGCTGCTCAATTTCAATACCCACCGCACACGGCTAATCAACAGCAATATCATCATCAAGCAGGTCAGGCTGCAACGTTTAATGGAGTTTCTCCGGGGCAACAAGGAGGATTCACAGTACCACCTGGTGGAACAGGCCCGTCTCAATATCAGATGCCCCCGCAAGGCGTTCCACCCAACTATCAGACTGGTCAGCCCCCGGCATACAATAACATGCCTGTCAGCACTGGTAAATTTTATAAAACGTTTCTTTAAAAGTTATGTCTTATTTGTTGTTTCCTGTTTTTTACTAGGTGGACCCATTCAACAAAACATTCAATATTATGGTGCAGCTGTTACGATAGCGCAAGCACCTAATCTTCATCCACCGCCGGTGCCTGCGGGAGCTCCTCATATGTATCCAGTGTCGATGCCTGCCCCTGGCGGAGGCCCCGGCCCAGGTTCGGGTCCTGCACCCAACAATATGTCAGCCCAACAGCCTTCCGTCAGGCCTCCACCTCACCGTCAGACACAGCAATTCAGTCAGGCGCAGTTATATTACCTATTAGCTGCTTACAGGGTGGGCATGTTGGCTATGGAGACTTTAGCAAGGCGAGTGCACGACGATCGACCTCAGGCCAAGTATGCCAGGAACCCCCCTTACGGAGAAGATGTTAAATGGCTGTTGCGTATATCAAAACACCTGGGTGAGTCTTGGATAGAAGGGAAATTCAATGTTCATGTATTTCTAAATGTTTTCTATTGATTCAGGCACGCATTATCTTCATCAGTTCTGTATTTGTGCCGTCAACTCTATTGTAAGTCCGTTCGTGCTACACGATGTGGCGATCGAATCTGCTCAATATCTATCTCGTAATAATCCTGCCCTCGTGATGCAGCATCTTCGAACGGCACTTGCGCCCCTGGTACAGAAGTGCCAGCAGATGTACATACAGTGTATGCATCAGAAATTGTATCATCTTATGCCAAATGATTATGAGGAGTTTGTAAGCATCGTATGTTCGGCTCGTGCCGCCTTTCAAATTACGCCCGAAGGAAGCACCCAATTCAAGGAATGGCTTCAGTCTATTAGAAGGTAAGTGTTTGTCTTGGAAAATTATTGTTTAGAAAAGTTGATTTTCTATAATTCCAATATCTGATTTATGTGATCAAGGTAGAGCATGATTTGTTTTAATGTTGACCTATATATTTTAGCGATGTATTTCTATATATTTCAGATCGAAATCCTGCAAGAAAGATCTCTGGACTCAGATAAATACAGCCTTGCAGGCGAATAATAAATGACAAAGGTCGCCGCTAGTTCATCTGTTTAGTGTAAATTTTCGTAAGGATTCGAACCCTCCGCAGTCTCCACTGTCGTCCCATTCCTTCGATATCCAAAATAATTCCGAAAATCACATCGACAGCAAGTCCACTTCAGGCGCTTTCGCGCCTAGTTGTATTGTAAAGTCTCCGCCCATCGATTCCATCATCACACCGCATCATTTCCAAGACGAAAACTTATTTCACTCGTCAAATTCTTTTGTTCTACCACCTCCTCCTCCTTCTTCTTCTCGTTCTCCTTGTTCATCGCCACAACCATTACGAACACATTTTGGAACCGATACTTCTTCCCCTCTTTTTTCTTCCCGTTCTGCACCCGCTTTGCTTTCACCATCAGCGTCAGTATACGTCGATCCTAGTTCGTCTTCGTCTCGCTTTACGTCTGCTTTACTTTCTTATCGTTCTGTGCCGGTGGTCTTTCCACCACACGTCATCGAGAGGACCGATTACCTTGATCCTTCTTCTGTACCTTTAAGGTCGTATCTTGTCGTTTCTTCATTTTCCCCTCGCACAAGCCATCGTGATCCGTTTTCACCTCAAGTTGATCCCCCTACAACTGTCTCTGCTTTTCTGCCCCAACGTTACACAGAGCATTCGGTTCCCCCCCATTTATCGAACCTTTTCGACTGCAAATCTGACAGTTAGTTGATCGCTTTAATTTTTCGTTTTTCATTAATTATGCAATTGTGCTCACTAGTTGAAGGCTGTATTTCGTTTTCATTTGAGGAAGGAATATTATAAAAAATATATATCGCGCTGTATAAGTTTGCACACTCTCAGGTTTTCGCATGTTCTTCGTTTGCTCGTTGTTAGAGTGCTCTTCTTCGTTTCGACAACACGTACACTCTCACACACACGCAGATGTTGATATATATATATGTTTCGAATGTAATTTGTAATATATTTCTGCTGATTACGAACGACTTCCTTAGCAGTTTCTTGTCTTCAATTCACGATCCATCGACGATTGCGCGACTTGGTGTAAATGTGTTCAAAATAATCGAATGTATGTAATTTTATTGGTAACACTTAAATGCGTTATTTTCGTTGATTGATTTCTGAGGAGCCTGTTGTTTGATGAAGGAAATATCGATTTCTATTTCGATTTCTACTTTATAGATCTCATGAAGTAATTGAAGTAGCCTTAGATATATGTATACATATATTCCATTTTCGTTCTAACGCATTATTTAATTCTTATTGAAACATTTGTGAAATAAGTTGCCATCTTATGGTACTTTGTCTGTAATAAAAATTGTTGACATCAGCAGGCTCTTTATATTCGTAATATCGTAGATTTAGGGTTGCGTAGTTTGAAGGAGTATTTATCCTTTGAAAGGATAAGTGGAGTATATAAACGTTAAATAATTAATTACTAAAAAATGATACACACTATCTTTTAATGAAAATGCCGAAGTGTTTGTTTAGTTTCCCTTACAGATGGATTTAAAATAGGGTCTCTCTTTAATGAATATAAAAGCTAGATAATTTTTAGAAGCTGAAAGTGAAAATAGACGTTTTTATGTACCTGATAATTTACACTGTCTATTATATTTTTTTTTTAGTTATGTATGTATATGTATTAATATTAACAAAAGCTAAACAAATGCCGGTTTGTTTGTTCACTTTATTATTTCTTTTTCTGTATATTAATATATTTTTTTGTCAATTGGAAAACTGTTTTCGTGTGT